CCCCCCCCACCCCTGACAAGAATCCGCACCGCAGTGCACCCTGACCTTCCTTCGGCGATATATTTCGCTGTGGCAAAAGGAGGCTGGGGCGGGCGAACTCTTTTGACACCCGGACTCATCACTCCCCAGTAACATGCGCTCGGCCCTCACGGCATAACGAAAACAAATTTTCGTCCGAATCCCGGCGCTCACCACTTCAGCCAAGCTCGGCCCCTCGTGCTTAATCCGTGTGGCTTCCGCCGTCGCCAGCCTCCGCCGCTCCAAGCGCCTCCTTCTCTCCCTGTTGGCCTCCCGCTTGCGTTGCGCCCGGGTGGTCGCTTCTTCGCGCCTGACAAAAAAAAATGCAGCCAACTATCGTCGCGGTTCTTCCAATGATTGTGAGTCCTGCGTCCACCACCACAAAAACAGCAGCAGCGGCTGATGGTGGTGGTCCAGCTGGTAACCTGGTAACGCCTTATTTCGTCTCTGGGCTGTGAGGTCGAATCTCTCGGGCGTGCGTGCACAAGAGCCACCAAGATGAGAAGCGAAAAACACATGTTCGGAAGGCAATCGCCAACAGGGAAGAGGCCGTTGCTGAAGAAACCCCTGTCGCATAAACAAACACACGTGCGGGCAAGCACCGCAGTAGGAAAGCGGGGAATATCTCCCCAGGTATCCCCGGCTGGCGGGCCAAAGACCTGATTTGTTCAGCCTGGCGCCCAGCCAAGGATGAGACGAAAACAAATTCAAAACAACTCATTCTGGGAGGGGTGGTCGGGTCGTTCTGGAATGCCACACCTTCCGTATAGCAAGACGCTGCAAACGGCAAGGCGAGTTGCCTCCCCGCGGAGCAGTAGCGAAACGGTCTCTCGGAAACACGGCGTTGCTCTGCCTGTCCCCCCACCAACCCGCGTTACGAGGCTAACACGTCCCTAAAGACCCCTGGTGAACACTCAGTTGTTGCAAGGGGCTACGAAGGTCCCGTCCCCTGCTTTGTTATCCTTCGATCGGGAGTTAGAACCCCGCGCTTTCCTATCTATCCGAAGCGGCCGTTGATACTTCCTACATGCAAATCCGATACCACCACCAAAGAGACGCCACCCAGTAAAGAGCCTCGTACCGCGTGCTTTCGCCGACAGCGCGGGCGGGCGGGCGGGCGGGCGGTAGGCAGTTTCTCGTCTCCCACACCCCACTCTCCCGCTTACCGCAGCAAGGACAGCTCCGCCCCCTCTAACGCGCACACGGCGCGGTTGCGAGACACCAGCGCTCCCACGGGTCTCCTGGCCTTCTCCGAAGCGGTGGCCTGTTTTCTCAAAGTTTTTCGACGACGTAAAGATTTTTAGGCCATCTCTTTCGTCAAACAACCGTATCTAAGAGCGTGTGGTGTGTATAGCATTGTTTTCGCAAACAAAGACTCAGAGCCCGTACACATGCATAACTTTTGGTGAGAGATTTTTTGTGCGGCGTTGCTGCGTGTTGGGAACGGATAGTGAAGTGTCGTCGCACGGAACCGGCTGGTAACCTGGTGCATCAGGATAAACCATGGAGCTCAGGGTATCCTGGCAATCGTCTGATGTTTCGAACAACTTTTTGGCAATTCCATTCATGATTGCTAGCGTTTCTTGGGGGGTGGGTGTGCTATGCAACACGAGGGAGGAAGTCAACTGCGGCGTGGATGCGCAATCGTGGCATGAAACCTTTGCTCACATCAAGGGATGGATGTGAGGTGTGGCGTAGCTCGAGTTGCGCGGCAGCCCGTGGTTCTCGTTTGATTCACAACACACGCACCGCGTTGTCTGGTAGGCCCCCGATTCTCGTCTGATTCACACACGCACCGAGTTGTGCTCGTCGGATTCACACACACACACACACACGTCTTTTCATTGGTCAGCCGGTTAGCGCGGCCGATGCTAATAATAATAAAAAACACACACATACGTTTCAGCCGGTTAGCGTGGTCGATGCTATCATTAATAATTGCACACACACGCTTCACACCTACCTGTGCCTTGCTGAGGAAGCGAGCAGCGGCGGTGTTGTCCCGACGGAGGTCCGAGATGCGCGCCTCCAGGGCGGGGCAGAGCCTCAGCAAAGAGTCGGCCAAGTCTCCCGAGGAGGTAGGGATCGCGGCACTATTTCCCTGAGCTTTCCTGCTCGGAGGAGAAGAAAAGGTGAGCGGCAGATGGACCGCAGACACCAGGCGACCGCCTCAAAAACAACCCCTCCTGTACTAGTCCATCCTTCACGTTGGAGACACGTCAGATCGGCAACAAGAGCGTCGCTGCTGCTGATGAAGAGGGTCTGTCGACCCCACTGACATTTTCGTTGTCCCTTTTCTTTGATATCGATGTCACTGCGCGTGGCTTTTTCGCAAGGAAATGGAGACCGAAAAATATCGCATCGTGCGAAAAGGAGGTGGATAACCCGTATTCGAGTAGTCAGCTGCTGGCGTTCTGTGCATTTTCTTGGGGCAAGACTCGGTCAGAAATAAGCCGCTGACGCCGGTACGGTCACACGCTTCCAAGTTGTAGTTTCGATGCAGTGCAGATCCCCGTTTTGTATACGATGTCTCCCATCTCAAGCTCGTCCGCGCTTTCTCACGCGCTGCCCTCCTACGAACTGATCCGCGTGTATCTGGCGAACGTAGAACCAAAAGATTCCTTGTTCGCGCAGGTTACTTCTGCTCACACCAGAGAGAATCCCCTTCGCCGAAAGTATTCGTCCTTGCGAACGAACTATAATAACTGTGTTTTGAGCCCCACTTCCGGCGATAGGGGCTTCTATTCAGGCCTCAGACACAACCAATCACCACACCTTGTCCGGCTAACACCGTGCCCGTCGGCGGTGGAGGGTTTCCAAGTGTGACCAGGCTTGGGTGCCAGTCGGGGCCCGGCAGGGGAACTCGAGGGGTGATGGGGGGCGTGGTGAGCCGAGCCACTATTACCATCTACACGGACAGGGTCGCCGTGCGACGCGCTCTGCCGTTGTCCGAGGCTGTTGCCATCGAGAGCGTGTTCCGCTGAATCTGTTGTTCCCGGGACCATCACTCCTGCTTCCGTAGCGCTGATTGTGTCTTTTTCCCGGATGGCGGCAAGGCATGGCGTAGGTGGCAAGGCGTCCGCATCGTGTGCCCTACCCCCTAAAGTTGAATATCAAAGACGTGGGTAGTGTTTCCAATTGTTTTTGAAGGCCAAAGGAGAGATGCAGGGATTCCCTTTGGAGTTTAAAAAAGTAGACCATCCCGAAAAAAAGCGTTGCACGAAGAGATCCTCCATTTAAAAACCGCACAGGTAGCAGCATAATTCTTAATATTGTGAGCGTGACGCGATTCTCAACGTAACAAGCTAGTGTTTGAACCCGAATTCTTCGAGTGGTCCGCAAGAAACCGTGCGAAGATGAACTCTGGGGTCGAACGTCGTCACAAGAGCAATACACGTATACTACAAGCGGGCGTCCTTCCCGTGAAACCCCTTCCAAGCGTACGTGCGTCCCTCTTTCATCGTTGTGGTCCCAGCTGATGTCTCCAAAAAGGCAATTCCGAACGTGTTAAAAGACGTAGTTTAGAAACACCCACACATCCGGGTCCGTGCAATCGTACTACGCACCCCCGTGTACGGCGTCCTCGGTGCACCGATCATCGTCACATTTTCATTATTCGTTCGATGTCTGTCTACACAACGCAATCGACCACGCAGCACAGGTTTCCCTACATCGATCGGCGATTGATTGCATGCCACTTTGACAGCAGCAGGTTGTGCGCGGTTCGGCTACGGTACAACATCGTATTGCTTCATTTACCCTCAATGTAACTGCTCGGGGTGGGGTCCACTCGCACCGCCCGGTAGCTCACCGGATTCTTCCCCTACGTTTTGAGCGGAGATTGTCTTATCTTCCGTCACCACCGCCGTCACCGCCCCCGCCGCCAATTTGGTCCCTGTCATAGCTGGCTTCTGACTTGGCTCCTGAATCTCAACACAAGGAGGTTGTCTACTGCGCATTAACGCCATGAAGGGGTCCATATCCTCAGCAAAGCCATCACCGGTGGCAAGAGATCTCGGACTCTCCACACCAAACGCCCGCCGCACCTTTTCCGCGGCCAGCCGTCGCCGATTACGACCCCGAAAGCCACGTGTGTGTGTGGGAGAAACGAGAAGAAATGAAAGCAGGCAACGCTTTCGTTGTGTGCATGCGTATGTCCTAGATGTACAGGGCGAAGGTGAGGGCGCAAGTGCTGGGTTTGTATACTGCTGTAGAGGCCCAATAGTATAGACTCGACCACTTTACATGTGCTACAAGTTGGGGTGATGTATCTGACGCCACGTGTACATACGTGGAGAAGTGGGTGTTCATGACGAGAACCCGTCAGAGGCACCATGCGCATTGATGACGACACCGACTATGCACAATACCTTTCGTGGTGGCAGAGTTTTGCCGCGACCGGTTCCCGGGGGCTTGACCGTCGCTGGCCCGTCCCCGTCGACTAAAAGTTCCAACAAGTCGATCGGGGGCAAGAAGCTCCTACTCCGGTTCTTGAGTTCGCGGGAAGAACCCACCAAGGTTATCGTCATGACAGTTCACAAGCAATGGACAGCAGTACTTTTATTGGCAGGCCTTCTCAGAGGCGTAATGCCGTTTGATGTAGACGTACATATACCACGTTCACATGGCACATGATGATCGTGATCTACACACGATCCCAAAATCTACGAAGAGATACGATGAAAATTATAATCGCCGTTACTTTTCTTTTGTCGGGTTTCCGTCTGACGCGAGGCTGCTCCGGTGACGGCACCTCTGCTCTGGTGTCTCCTTCCTTCATTGCTTCATTGAGTGAGGTGCAACATTTGGAAGCGTGTGGCCCGCAGATGAATGGGTTTCACCGTGTATTGAAGCTCGCGTATTGGCGGGCGTGGCCCGCGTTGTTAAACTCTAATTCAAAGCTGTGACCCGGTACCCGGTACATTCAAAATTTCTTTTGGCTAGACTATTATTACACCGCTTTTTGTCGTGTGCGCATTGCGTTCGAACCTACCAGTCCAGAGACCGACACACATCAGGCGGGAGCCTGGGCGCTGCAACTAGCGTATACCAGACGTGAACAGCAGCTGAGACCACTCTGGTCTCTGTGTGCACGAAGTTTCGCATTGATAATATCAATCCACACTGAGTGTCGATGACGAGCACGCAGCAGCAGCGCACGCCAGACGAGCTACAGCGAGGAGAGAGAGGGAGATCGCACAAACACGCACGCACGAACACAAACGCGATTATTTATGTCGAGCTACTGCAGCACAGCAGCAGTAGAAGTACCCATACCCAGGGATCCATGCATGCTTCTATATCATCTGCACGCCCGTCCTCTCTCCAGAACACTTCAAGTAACGTGATGATGTTCTGGCACCTCCGCGTAGTTTTTTTCGGTCTCTAGACCCCATCTGTCGGTAGCTCCTTTCCTTGGAGCGAACATCCCACCCAAAGCAATCGCCATCAATCATCCATCCCGACGCGTCGGTATGTTGACAACCCGCATGGCAGAATAGATGCACAGCGATTTTTTTGCTGCCCCGATGACGGCACCTCTGCACTGGTGTCTCCTTTCCTTCCATGCTTCAATGAGTGTGAGGTGCAACATTTTGGAAGCGTGTGGCTCGCAGATGAACGGGTTTGTATTGGGGGCTTGGCCCGCGCCAACTCCAGCAAACAACGCCAAACCCTGGCAAACAACGCCAAACGGAATCGATTAATGTACGAACACCTCACACCAACTCACACTACTGCAGTTGTTGTACTTTCCAGTCCTTGGCGGTCGTCACCCAAGCGCATCCTCTACTCACCCCCTGCCCTTCCGCATCAGAGCGCTAATGCAGATGCAGCGCGCGTGTGAGCATGATGAATGTACATTTGATTCAAGTACGGCAAGCGATCACACATAATCTTTCAGGTGAGTAATAAAGCATGGACACACGGAATTTTTTTACACCTTTCATTGCAGTACCTAAGTTTCGGACAAGATTTTCTCTGCTGCCTGTTTCGTAATGCAGCGCTGCCTGAAACCAATCCGGGCGACGGCCGGCGCGGCTGCCGGCCACACGAACAGGTAGGTAGGTCCAACTTCGCCATACCCATACCCCTTTCTGCTTCGGGCAACCATGCTGGTCCTATTGGAGATTTTCAACGGGCTGTAACCGTTAGTTTCAACACGTACAGCAGTAGTACAAACCCGGCGGAGAGAAGGGCAACAACGAAGTAAAATATCAGGAGGGGAGCAGGAAACGACGACCCTCAGAGATGTAACCTTCAGAGCATCTTATCAGCTTTTCACGGCTGTCGACGAAAGATACCCAATCTTTCGTGTGAGGTTTGCCGGAGGTGAAACGCGATCATGACGAAAACGAATCAGATGCACTACACTCGCGCGAGTCTGTCGACGCGTCTGTCTGTTCGCTACGTATGCCAACCGAGGTTTCACCGCTCCTCACCCGTATGCTGCTTTAAATGACCTGGCAAAGACAAAACGGCGGCAACAGGGAACACACGGCCGAAGGCGACGCCACGACGTCCAACAACCGGGAAAAAAAAGATAAGCCAAGAACAAGACAATTTAACGAACGTTATATTCACCAACATCAAGGAAGGAAAAACACGTACTTGCGGTGAGGCAGACAAGCCCCACCATACCCCACACACCAAGTCTTCTGCTGGGCAAACGGACACTCACACGCGCACACAGCCCTTGCATGCAGCAGCAGCAGCAGCAGCAGCGCAGTGAACCCGCGTGCGTGCCTTCCTTCCAGCAAACAACATACAGAAAAACGAGGTTACGAAAAAAAAAAAGGAGGCACAGGGCCACCCGACAGCACAGACACAGAGGGGTGTGTGTGTTAGCTAATACTTGTATGCCGACCGAAAATCCTACAAAATCAGAACCGGGGGTTCGAGACGAGGGCTCGCTCCGGCAGATATCGCATTAGACCTGGACCAAGCGTGGGAACATTCAACAATGCATCCTCCTGTCCGCCTTCTAAATGGATTTCCTTTGCCCCTTCTTGCCCCCCGTCCTATGCATATAAAAAAGCAACCACGCGCACAAACAAGAACAATGTGCAATAACATCTACCCTGCATCTACCCCGGCTCTCCACGCGCAGCTAGCAACTCCCGAACAAGGGGCAGCAGCACTTCCTTCTTGTCTAGAATGACGAGCGCAAGCTCTTTTTTTGTCCGCCCGATCCGGCCACACAAACACGTATGTAGCCCGTCGTTTCAATACACCGCTCCTTGCGGGGTTCAACACCCACGTACGAACGTACGTCTCTCCTTCTGGCAAAGCAAAACACCCGCCCTGAAGATTACACGTCTCAAGTAGTCGGATACGACGAGTCCCTGTATTGCTAAGTGAACCCCGCCCAAGGGCTGTTCCGCCCGCGGGCAAAACTAATACCACCAGTCAGCAAAATAACAGCAGCCCATTCAGATTTTTCACCGGAGGATCAGAAGAAGAACGAACAACCGATTTTCTTCCCGTCAAAGGTGGACGGACGGGGGCGGGTTCACCGGCGTCCCGGTAACCACAACGTTGTCGTCGTCATCACCGCGCCGGTCCGCCGCCGCCACCGCTGTCGTCGCATCGTCGGGCAGCGCCTGGTACCCATCCGGGGCATCGCCGCTGCCGCTACCGCCGCTGCCACCGGCGCCGGCCCGCACCAGCTTCCTTAGCGCGCGGCCCAGCAGGAAGAACGGCAGCAGCAGGAGCGTGCAGGTGCCGATGAAGAAAAAGAAGGCCAGGATGCCCTCGACGGGGCCGATGTCCTCGCCGTCCAGCGAATCCTCCAGCCACGCCCGCCCCCGGGTCTCCAGGTCCTCGGGGAGGCGGTTGCGAGAGCGGATGTGGTCGCGCCCCCCGTCAGGGCCGCCCTCCATGGGGGTTCCGGGGAGCGGCTCGTAGGCGTGGGGGGGCGGGGGCATTCCGGGGGGGTGGGAGGGGCCGTGGAAGAGCCCACTGTCCCGCTCTGCCATCATCATGGGCTCTCGAGCGATGGCCTGTCCCAAATGAAGCTCAGATACAGCGTCTCCGCCAAAGGGGACGCCAACGTAGCCGTCAACAGTGCCCAAGACACCCCAGTCGTCCGAGGACGAGTCAGACGAGGAGGAGAAGGAGGAGGTTTCCTCGTCGTTCGAGTCAGAGGACGAAGAATCGCCCATTATCCAGTCCACCAGGACCGAAAACATGGACGGCCTTGGGCCCTGCCGTTGCTGGCCGTGGTGCTTCGGCCCGGGGTGCTGCTCGCCGCCGGTGAAACGGGGTCCGCCGTGGTGTCCCATGTCGCCGCGCCTGGTGTCCATCCGGCCGGGAGGGCCTCCCCATACACGCCCGTGAGGGTTGTGGTGGTGGTCGGGGTGCCCGGGGTGCCCTCCCTCGGAGCTGCGGCCGCCGCCGCGGTTGCCGTTCACAAAGTCCGCCATCAGCTTCTCCATGAAGGGCACTTGGTCTTTTTCATTGACCCATATCACCGCGTCCTCCCCAAAGTATTCAATCTCTCCGCGGGGCGGCAGGGGGGAGAGCAGGGGGGCGGCGGCAGGGGGGTGGTGGTCTCCCGTCTGCCGGGCGCGCCGGATGTCGGCGCTGGGCATACTCTGCCTCGCCTGCCGGTCCATCGCCGCCTCGGCGTGCCGCTGCACCGCGCGCTTGTTGAAGCCTGTCGCTGACTTCTTGTGGCCGCCGCCCGCGGAGCCGTCTCCGGAGATCTTCTTCACCTGCTGAGCGCCGTTGTACCTATTGGCCGCGGGCCTCTGAAACGGGCTCGACTTCTTGTGATTCGTGTGCGAAGCGCCCCTCTTGTTCTGGGCTGCGAATTCCCCCGCTGTCGCGGCAAGCAAGGCCTTCCTGCAGGGGAGGGGCAACACGAGAGAGGTGGTTAAAGAAAACTGACATGTGTCAACGATGACAACAGCAGCAAGAGTAGGGGGGGGTGTACTCATAGTCGTGCATGCCGTAGTCGTTAGACCATTGACCTCGCATCCCTACAAAGCCGGGACGGAGCACGCCGGGTTCTCACCGGACCAGGCTCTCACATCACCAAGCGCGAAGCGCCGTGAGATATTCGGCGAGTCGCATGAAGGGTGCGCTGCATCCTGCTAAGGGTTTTCGGCATCTTGTGCTTACTTCCTTGCGTACGGATGACAGCTGCGTATGAATTACTTTATTTTCTCGTGCTTTCACTTCCAGAGACAGTTGTAAGCACTGTGTAACTGCCTCGAGGGTGCTTGACCATGTTAACACAACGTGGTGCGATCATCCCCCTTGCGCGGGGTGAGGCTTCTCCACCCTGCACAACATGATCTACTCGACCACCATTATGGTTACCGCCAAAAGAAAAAAAACGGAGGTAAAAAAAAAAAAAACGGTAACCTGGTTGCCGATTTCACGAAGTGAATTGGCTTGTTTTACAACGTCGTTGCCAAGCGACGAAAACCCAACCCCGATGGCAAACACCGGGAGGGGCAAGAGTAAGGGGGGTGATAATCTGCGTCATGTGCCTTTTGTTGGAAGTCTTACCAAGGATCCCTCCGGAGTGAGCTCATGAGAGCACGGCAAGGGGTTGGTCATGCAAGACGAAAACGAAAGAAAGCAAGTCGGACCGCAGCCCACAGCAAGACGTGACGGCGTTTTCCCTCCGCTCACACAGCTGACGTGTCATTATATTTTTTCGTACTCCAAGAGCCCAGCGAAACAACAAAAAAACAACCAAACTACAGCGGAGATACCGCTGTGTGCTGCTCGAGGACCCGTGAAACTAAAAGTTGGTCGCCGTTCAACACCCTAGTACATCAATCATTGCTAATCTACCACGGACTTATATCTGTGGAAGAGATGGATTTGTTGTGACAAGAAAAATGTATACTCGTACTTTTGTACAGCAGTCCTATATTGCAAGTATCCTAACACACAATCCCGAGGAAACAGAGACCGAGCACGTGGATGTTTCAGGCAGGCTACTGAAGGTGACATAAGATACCACACCCATTGTACGTTTCTTGAAGCTCGAGTACTCCACGACGAAGAGGATGCGAGAACCCTTCGAGACCTTGTTTTTTAAAGCTCTCGACGAGGCGATTCCCACACCGCGATTTTCAGCACCGTCACTTTTTGTGGTGTGGAACAACCCCGAGCCTCAAAAATTAGTCCAGGGGTGTGTGGTATCTTGAGTTACCTTTGGTAGGGCGATTGGATGCTCTGCGAGCGACAGTCCACCGCCGTGCGAAGGAGGAGACGCAGCCCCCGATCGCTGAGGTCTGAAAAATAAGACTCGTCCCCAAGTGATGGAAGAGTAGCCAAACTTCGTTGGGAGGAGTGGAAATCTACACAGTTGTCAGCTCTAGGCGGGACGTCTTGCTCGGGACCTCCACGTCGCGTTCAGATCGCACCGTGTTTGCACCACCGCCTTGAATGCTTACTTCATTTTTTTTGGAAATGTACATGGCAATCACTGACAAAGACTGCCCGTCCGAGACAGACCAACACAGCAGTCAAAGGGGATCATGTCTTAAGATGTAAGAAGCGGAGAGATGGCACTCCCCCCTCGAACCAATTTTCAAAGCTCGATTGTTCCACAAACAAGGGAGTGCGGAAAGAGCCCGACACTTGTACGGCAAATCCTCGACGAAATGATTCAAAAAACGCCACTTTTGATACATATTGGCAACACCTTTGGTTGTGCAGCAATCGATTTTACAAATCGGTCCAAGGAGGGTGCTGTCTCTCCGCCTCTCACACACGGTAATCTAGCTTTTCTCCCAACGCGTACATGTATCTACGTGTAATGACGCACCACGGTTGCTACGAGGCCCTCGAACACATTATTTTTCGGAACAAAAATATGGCGACTTGTTTGTTGGCAACAGAAGTGCAGATGTCTTCTGACGTGAACGGGATTTGTTGTGGCATAGGGTGATCGGGTCCGATCGGACCCCCTTTTATGGTCGCAACAGCAGCACACGCCAGTCATCTGCCGGAAAACTAGCATCTCGGATTGTCCCGTTTCAGAATGAAACGCACTTCCACTTCTGAACAGGATTATCATGAAAGGCGCACTTTCTTCATCGGCGGATTAATATTGTTATCCTCTTTCGCCGCTGCGAGACTAACTTTCGGACCCACTTTTCGGTCAAAACAAGATAAAGAAGCACACACTCCAGTTCTGTGCCGAACAGGCAGCATCGGATTGGCCCGTTATGTATTGGATATGAAACGCACTCTTCCACTTTAGTTTACAGGGCGGACTATTTTGCCATCCTCCACCCTCTGCAAGTCTCACTTTCGGACCATCGGGGACGAACGGCAGCGCATGGACGACGAAAATATAATCCGCCCTGTGAAACAGGAGAAAAAAAAAAGCAAGCGTTACACACACATAATCTACCACGGGCGATTCCGAACCTGGTGGTTGCCCGCCAAAGCAGTAGCGTGTGCTGTTGCAACCAAAAAAAGGGGTCCGTCACCCTACATACCATTTTTGTTTTCTTTTGTCCGAGTGGTTTGTGCAGATATTTTTGCTTTGTTTCCCCGCGGCGTCGTATGTGCCGGGTTTTTGTGACCACGGGCTCCCCATTTTTGTGGACTATACAGCTAATGCGAGGAACAACCAAACAACAATACCGCCGTGTTAGCATACGCCGCGTAACCGTTTTTTCACGGAAGGAGGTCTCGCGCTGCTGTTGCCAATGAACATCAAACGATCGATATGTATGTGTGTATGCACATCATGTGGCGAATCTGCCATGGACAAAAAAAAGAAAGGGGGAGTGCAGGCCTGGTAAAACAAAAAGCCAGTATACCACCCAGCCGGTTTCCCTCCACTCACTGTAAAGACTCTGAACACATCCCGTTCGACTGCTGCGGCAATATCTCGAACAGGCTACGTATGTAGTTTCTCTGCGTATTTATTTTCCTAAATGAAACACACTTCTATTATACATGCTCGTAGGGCATTGGGAGAACACACATACCGCGCGAAAACTCAACTTCCAACACGTCATCCCTTCGAGACAAGCAGTGTGCGTGGTGGGATTATGAAGAATCACAATCTCGAGCGCCGCGTGACACCACTTTTTTTATCATGTCATGCACCCACTGGATCGATTTTCACAGCTCCAACAAACACTCTACGACGAAGCGGACGTACACGTACTAGTTAAGGGATGCATCAGTATGTACGTTTTCGGTAACCTCTCGACGGGAGAAGCTTCCGACGCCGTCATTTTCGGCTCTGCCTCTCCATTCTTTCTGCGCGAGGAGGAATCGGGCTTCGAAAAAACAGTCAGGGGGGCGTGGTGATGAACATCGAGTATCGATTTGCCACATTCGATGTCGACACAGCAGTATCGACACCGAACATCGCGTATCGACGATACACGATACAATATTTTCAGACACGGGCCCCCCAAACATGACGTACATACTACCTTTTGGTGAATTGATAACACCAACTACATACAACACACAGCACACAGCGAACAGCACACCATCACACCCTCTACGCTCGGTCCCGCACACCGCAAACCACTACATGAGCCTTTCACCTTTCGGCCCCAATGAGGGGGCACCTTGTTTTTTTTTGGGAAATAGACACAAGTGGGTATACCCACCCCTTTCTCGGACAAATGTGGGTACTCGAAAATCCAGCGCGCCCGCACTGCATAGGCGGCCCCCAAACGACTCAAAACCCCATTCTGACACCAGCGCGACACAGCCAGGGACCATAGACAGCACGGGTATCGATTTTTTCCCACTTTCAGGCACACCTTTGGCCCTAATACCGCCGAGGCGCGCAGGGCCTCATCAGAGTGCCCACTTTTGTCCGACATCGCGGTGGGTATACCCACCGGCGTCAACTAAAATACCCACCGACTTCAACTATTTTTTTCATGTACCCACGTATGTCTATATTTTGACCCACTTTTGTCCAAATTGTACCCACATTTGTCCACTTATAGACGGCGGAAAATGAGCGGAAATCGACCTCCATGTCACCGCACGGCAGAACATCGGGTAGCCTCGGAACGTCTCAGAACCTCCCAACACCGTATCCATGGCATCTTTCGTATCCATGACTGCCGACTGCGGATCGACCGCGGAGGAACAAGTCAGACACATACCAGGCCCCTTCGGCACCGGCACGGGAGGATACCAGGCACGGGAAGATGCTCGCGTCAAGCCCGGCAAGCAGCGCACTAACGGCAAACGCCACAAATAAATGCGTGACACACAACGGTCAACAAAACCAACCGGCGCGCATACAGACAGAACAAAGAGACGCGCAGACACATTCTGACAGCACTTCAGACAGCAGCTTTGTGCCCCGCCAGCTTCTTGTTCCATGCCTACCATGGTGTTTTTGTACAGACAGCACTTCAGACAGCAAGTATGCTGTAGTCGGCAATCATTCGTTTTGGTACAGAGTGGGACA